CCCCACCATGTGCTCCCTAAACAGGTCTCTCTTGAAAATGAGTTCTCGTGGCTCAATGAGACTAACCTGGATAAATAAAGGCTAAATGAAAAAAAAAAAAATATATATATATATATACATATATATATAAATGTATTATATACATTATATATATAAAATACATACAAGTGTGGGTGTGGGTGTGTGTGTATATATATACTGTATCTTTACAAAATTGCTCCATGTACAGTTCATTAAAATTATTAAATGAATGTTTGCACGAAGCTGCCACAAACCTTGTTTATTTGTTACACAACAGAAGCTTTAATTTGAGCATTTCCTCCCCTCCTCCATGAACTACATTACCAGATGTGTAAAATATACAAACAGATGCAATTAAAATGTAAAAGATGTTTATATGCAGATTACCGAAGACAAGCTATTTAAAGAAGTTTTGACAGAATTCTTCACATCAATTCATTCATTAGTAGATAAAAAAAAAAAAAGATATATATACGGAGAGATTTCCAACACAGCTGCTTCCAGTAATGAATGCTCATCCAAGAAGTGACTTGAAGGAGCAGGGAGGTTCTACACTGGTTTGTCTCCTTTTACATCAAGAGGCTCCTGATGATTTGATATTAGGCAGCAGCAGATGATCCACAGCTGATTGACTGAACCTCCTGACTGACTGCTACTCCTTTACCCTTCACATGATCCTCTCTACTAAAATCCTCAGACGAGCCTGGGTCTTCGGGGTCTTCGGGGTCTTCGGGGTCTTCTGGGTCTTCAGGGTCTTCAGGGTCTTCAGGGTCTTCAGGGTGTCCTCTTTGCTGAGTTGCTGCTGCTGAGAAAGATGGACACAAGAAGAAAGTAAAAAGAGAAATTATTAATCATCAGAACATGGAAATGGTTTGACATATAGTTTTTAATTCCATATTTAAAATGCTATTCTAAACAACAGTGTTGGAAGATGTCAGATATTTTACATTAATAGATAAAGTTAAACATTTTAATGTTACAGCACTGACAGGCAGCAGCAGTGTAGAGTTTAGCTACCTGTTGCTGCTAGCTTACTTTACAATCGGAGGCTGTTTCCTGACACAGTTACAGAATGGTAAATTGATAATGATGGATAACATTACCACAGCTAACTAACATGTAAATACTGTTTTTATTAACCTTACCTTGCGCTATATCTTGTAATATAATCTCTATAAATAAAGGCTGAATGAATGAAATTCAGTGAAGTTTACAGACAGGTCTCCCGAGGGAGAATAGACCCGGAAGTCCTGATCAACATCGAGTCAGAACGTAAGTTGTCTAACGTCATGTGAAAAGGGTTTATTGTAAAAGACTGCGTGTCCATCCATCCATTATCTTTACCCGCTTATTCCATTTTGGGTCACGGGGGTCGCCGGTGCTCATGTCCAGCAATCACTGTGCGAGGGGCGGGGTACACCCTGGACGGGTCGCAAGTCCATCACAGGGCCAAGACTGCGCGTTTGAATGAATAAAGTATAAACAAACCTTTTCTTTCTTCCTCTTCTTCTTGTGACATTTATTTGTGGTTGGAAAACGTCTTTCTTCCTCCAAGTTTATTTTATGATTTGTTCTGTGTTCGACTGCCCCTAGTGGTCTGGAGCACTTCCGTTTTTGTGGAGGAGTTTGCATGTCTTCCACTGTTCGCAGCGTTTTTCTGTTTGTGTTGTCATTTGTGTTCGCATGCGTGTTTATTTTAGTTTGCGTTTTATTTTTTTGTTTGCATTTGTTGTTTGTGTTTGCATCTTTTTTGTGTTTGCGTGCATTTTTTGTTTGTGTTTGCATGTGATTTTTTTTGTGTTTGCATTTTGTTTGTGCTTGCGTGTTTTTGACTTTGCATCATATATGTGTTTGTTGCGCGTTTCGCTGTTTGCTGCGCATTTGCACCTGTCGGCCACCGTATAATTTAGTCAAGTCAGTCAAGTCAGATTTATTTATAGAGCACATTTAAAACAGAAACTGTTACCAAAGTGCTTAGTTAGATTAATTTAGTTAATTTAGTTAACTTAGTTAATTTAGTTAGTAACGTACGTGCTCTATCTCCGCCGATCATGTTGCTAATTTACGCCACTCGTATTTCCATTAAAATCATTGACATATTTACGTCATGGTTAAAATTATATGCAGCTTCACCACTATGTGGCGCTGTTTCCCCATGGAAATATTTTCACCATGAAAATAATTAATTCTGTATCTTGCAGGGTTTTCTCATTCAGCCCAGGCTGGGGGTCAGGTCTAATGTGTCGCATATCATCTTAACCAATGACGTGAATATGTCAGTGATTTTAACAAAATACGAATGGCATAAATTAGCAACGTGAAAATCGGAGGAGATAGAGCACATACTCTTCTAAGTAAATTAAGATGTTTCTTATTCATAAACAATGGTGATCTGTGGTATTCCTTTTAGCGCATGTGCACCCCCCCCCCCCCCCCCCCCCCCCATTTGCGTTTGCTATGAACAGTTTACAAACTAAGCCCTGCTTTAAAGGAAATGAAAACAGACAGAGTAAACACATTTTTGCTTTTGGAGGCGGGGAATAAAGCAACTAAATTTCTCCAAACTGAGAAAGCTATCTACAACAGGTAATACACTGACACTTCATCCACAGACCTCCAGTTCAAATTGGCTGGAATATCCCTTTAATTTCTCAGCTTGTTTTTTTGCAAAATAAAGTGAAAACACAAAGTTTACTCTGATTTGAGGAATGTTTGCGACAAGGAAAGTCATCTGGATTGCTTACACCACCCCCTGCCCGTCCGCCCCTCGGTTCGGTGCATCCGGTCCTGATCCGGACAGGCAGTCGGAGTGAAGCCCCTCCCCGCAGATCCTGGGACAGCTCCACACTCAGCTTGTTGGGGGGCGAAGCGCAGAGAGGATCAAACGCTCCCTGTGGTCGGTACCGACCCCCACTTCTGTTCTCATGGAAATCAGAGTCGAACTTTCCGGACACATAAAGTTGAAGGCGCATTCCGAGCGGGCACACCGCGCGATGAGGACGTCTTAGAGGAGCTGACCGCTTCACTTGTCCCGTTCCTGGGTCTCTGCTGGACCCGGCTCCTGGGTCTCTGCTGGACCCGGCTCCTGGGTCTCTGCTGGACCCGGTTCCTCGGTCTCTGCTGGACCCGGTTCCTCGCTGCGCCATGCAGGTTCTGACGCGCCGCCTGGTTCTGTGCGCGCTCCTCAGCTCCGTTTACGCAACGTGCCCGCCGCGCTGCGAGTGCTCGGAGGCGGCTCAGACCGTCAAGTGCGTCTCCAAAGACCTGCGGGCCGTCCCCACCGGGATCCCCGGGTACACCAAGAATCTGTTCATAACGGGGAACCAGATCAGCCGAATCGGCCCGGAGTCCTTCACAGGTCTGGATCACGTGAGCACCCTGTCTCTGACCAACAACAGGTAAGACACATCCAGCTTGCAGCTGCCTTCCTTCCTTTTTGATGGTTTTAAAATGTGCATCTTTGCAGGATTTCTGAGGTTGAATCCCACTCCTTTGCTGGACTCACCCGCCTCCGGTCTTTGGATCTGAGCAACAATCAGTTGACTGTCATTTACCCAGAAGCCTTCACCATCCTAAACCAGTCCTTGCGTGAGCTCAACCTGAGCCGGGCCCTCTACAACCACTCTTCAGTGATGGACTTGGCCACAGCTCTTCGCTGGAGTTCCTTGGGGACCCTGCAAGTCCTGGACCTGTCGGACAACAGCCTTGTCGATCTTCCCCCTCGTGTCTTCTACCACCTGAGTGACCTTCGGAAGCTCCAGCTCTCCAACAACTCCCTGGTGGGTTTTTACAACTCCACCCTGTCTGGATTGGAGCACCTGGAGGAGCTGGACCTGACGCTTAATGCCTTCAAGACGCTCCGGGAGGAGGCCCTGCGAGAGCTGGACTCCCTGCCTGGAGCAACCGTCCTGCTGGGGGAAAACCCGTTCACGTGTACCTGTGGGATTGAGCTGTTTGCTATGTGGCTCAACAGGTCACAGGACCGGGTCAGAGATTCTGAGAGCTTGCTGTGCACCTTCCCTGCCGGCCTGAGGAACACATCCATATTGTCTGTGGGCTCTCTGACTCTGGGGTGCTACCACAGGGACGCAAGGGCAGAACTTGCCTTGCAGACCTCATATGTCTTCTTGGGGATTGTCCTGGGCTTCATCGGCCTCATCTTCCTCTTTGTACTTTACCTCAACAGGAGGGGCATCAAGAAGCGTGTGTATGACATGCGGGATGCCTGCAGGGAGGTCTGGGAGGGCTACCATTACCACTTTGAGGCCGACTCAGACCCTAGGTTATCTCAGGTCTGTACCAATGTTGAACAGTGAGAGGACCCTCCCACCTGGACCGGTTGGTTTTCTGTCTCCTGATGCTTTAATCAGCAGCTGAAGGTAAACTTGTCTGTACATATAGAACACAGTCCTTCCTCCTTCAGCCTTGCTGAGCAGAGCTTCTCGTTCAGATGGAGAGCAGTGTTTGACATGTTCTGCTTTTTCTTTAAACAAGCAAAAAAAGTGCCTACAGTGTTGGTTCTCAGTCACTTTCGGGATCTAAACCCACCTCTCTCAGCCCTCGTCCACACCTCAAGGTAGTTTTTGTGACTATTTAGATTGTTTTGTTTTTTTGTTTGTTTCAGTTTTTTTCCACACAGAAGCTGCATTTAGAGCCATAAATGGTCCTTTTTTGAAAATCCACTCTAGAGTAAGATAGTCATGACATACAACTCTTGTATTTTTGTGTGGGGAGTCAAAACCTACCATTTAACAGCGATGTTGTCATAGACCCACCACACCTGGCGGAGGAAACAACAGAGTTCATGCTTGTGTTTGTGCTGCAGTAATTAGTTTCTCAACTATAGTAAAAGCTTCAAATGTTTTATTCCTTTAACGAACAGACCCTTTTTTATTGCACCAAATAATCTTTAAGACCAAAAGGGTTTTATTACTTTATTGAACTGCCAATATTACAGATAAAAAAACTAAAAGATGCAAAAAATTACAGGTATCTACAGTATGCATGTGCACGTATACAGTTCACGTTTAGCAGTCCATCACCAGAAACTGCACCTGAAAAGTGCCCATTATGTCCACGTATCTGGACTGAGGTGACTTCCAGTCTAAACTGTCCTGTGTTTTTGTTCCCCATCTCAGAGCAAAGAGGGACAATTGGAAATACCCTCCATCTGTCAGTACGTGTTGTGAGCACAATAACTTGAAATACAAGTGAGTTCCATTGTGGTGCGTGGCTGCATCTACCCACAGGGAAGGTTCCATTCAAAAACTGGGTTGCCATGTCAAAATCCAAGATGGCCACTGCCATACAGCGTATATGTTATATAAATATATACATATATGTATATATACACACAAACACACACACACACACATATATATATACATACATACTATATATATACACATATATATATGTATACATATATATATACATATATATATATATGTATATATTTATATATATATATTTATATATATA